AGCAGAAGCGTCTTGACCGAAAGTGTAGAAGATTCTGGTGCCTCTTGCCTGCCTGGCAATTTATCCCCTTTTTTGGGTTGCCTTGGGCTATGGATATCTGCAATTAATAATGGGAGTGGGCACAGTGCATGCAGCACGCAGGAATATTTTACATTGGGCCGAATAAAGTGAAGACCGAAGATTAGTCCAACTAAAATTTTTAAACGGGCTCAATCATGTCAATTTGACGAATGAATGATGATGCTCCGATCATGTTGTGGAACAGATGTAATGGGTATGAATCTGACCCATCGAACTTTTGTAGTCCTGCACCAAAGTGCCCAAGAGCCAAGTGATGTAGTAGATTTATCAGCCTTAGTACACTAATTTTAGGCACGGTTTGTTTCGAGGGAATGGGACTGAAAGAAAAGGGAATCGAAGGATAAAATTTTTTATTGTTTGATTGATTTTTTAGGAGGGAGAGGAAAGGATTGGAAGGAAAAAGGGAGTGATAAGTATTAGTTATTTTTTTTATCAGTATATTTTTTGTCCAAAAGTGGGTGGAAATCGAGAGAAGGGACACCAAAATTACTTTAAAAATTTTTTTGAAATTTTCTTTATAAAAAATACCGATGATATGTTTATAAATTTAACTTTTAAACTATAAACAAAAACGTAACTAACTAACGCATAATGATTTTCTTTACCCTCTTTCCGTAATCCAAATAAGATGGATGGACTCGAATTTCCTTTACTCTCCTTTCTTTTCTTTTTCACTAGAGCTCTTTCCTTTTCTTTCCTTCTCTTTCCTTCAAAGCCAAAGTGAAACGGTGCCTACCAGAGAAAAGAATCTATGGACTCAATAGTCTTCCAAAACAAAAAAGCCTAGTCACATAACCTCTACTCTCTATACCTAGAAAGAAAAGTCATCACTTCGAAATAATAAAGCATTACTCCGTTAAAGACTTGTTTGATCAATGAATTGTTAAGACGAAATGTAAATAAAGTTTGGTACTCGTCTCTATCTCGAGCCTCTACTCTAGTCAGTTGCATCTCTTCTTTCATGCCAACTTTTGTTACCAATTCAAGGAAAATCCCAAGCCAAACAGCTAATGTTGTAAAAGATCTTTAGGTGTTTCTGATTTCCTACGAGTCTTCCGGTAATCAGGTCATAAATCATCTTTTGTCCATTAGATGGGGAACAACCACCTCTTGGATGACGGATCAGCATAAAGCTCAAAGGGTAATTGTCAGCATTGTTTAAGCTGCGATCACAACAAGCATCCAGAACTGGACATGATATTTGATGGAATGTTTTCAAAACAAGGCCTTTATGATGATGAAACACCTAAAGCAGCAAAGCTTGTCAAGCCCTTTATGATGAAAAAGAACCCTAGTTTGCGGACGCTTCTACAACATCAAATTCGTGGTTCATTTCTCCTGAGTTGTCTCCATTAGATATAGATAGATGGATAGATACAGTGCAACCCCCAACCAATTAGTTTAGTGAGTCTGGTTGTTAATATTAGTGAAAGATTGGACATTAAACTCTTAGGATAATGGGAAAATGTTGGTCCCCTCTCAGAACGGTATGTATATGTTTGAGGTGAGGATTGTGGAGCCTCCTTAAATTTCTACAGTGCCCGTAGAATTTTGATATAATCTCAAGTGTACTTTTGGAGTTTTCTTACGAAGGAAGCGAAAGAATCATTTGGTCCTCTAACTTGATTCATGAACTAATATTCTAAAAAGATATATGAACCACAAAATTTCATTTGAAGTAAGCTAAAAAAGATTTTTCATTTCAACTTGTTGATGAATATTTTTCTGCTTACAAAACTAAAAAAAGAAAAGTTGGTAAAAAATTTTAATGTTATTTTTGCCCACACTGAGAATTTTTTCTAACTCCGCCACCGTATGTTTTGACTGCATTTTCAAGGATGAGCTTAAGAAGAAAAAAGGATTCAGGAAAAAAAAAAAAAAAAAAAGACCTGCAAATTTTTCTGACATTAAGGCTTGCATTAGAAGAGAATTTCAATCTGTGTTCCAACCTTCAATTTCGACCATATTTAGTGATTTTTCTACATATAATTGTCTTGCCATTCTTTTGAGATTAGAGTAGAAAAACACAAGACAAGCTTTCCAAATTCTTGTGTTGCTCTTCGTCTTTCTTGTCAAGTTGCCAAATTGCCCATCAAAGCTTTGCAATGTGCCGTTTGCATATGTTCATGAATTATCCCCGATGGGAAGTTGTAAGCAAAATAATACTAATAACATATCACAACTGGAAAATGAAATTACTTTTTTGGCATGATTTATTTACGATAGAGTAAGGATTCTTTTCTTTTAATCCTCCTTATACTCTTTCCACCCCCAACTATCAAGGATTTGAACCATGAACCTTGAACTTGACGGTCCTCCCCTCACGAAATGTAATTCAATAGAGTAAGGATTCTTTGATATTTGTTAAAATGTGATCGAGATGTTAATTTTCGAAAAAATAAATTTAATTAAGAAAAGTGTACAAATGCAAGAGATGATAGTAATTATTAATTCGTGTGCTAGGTTGAATATGATTAAGGTGCCTTAACTAACGATCTGGATATTTGATAGAAAAAAAAAAATAACTAGAAAATACTCAATTTACCGCTGAAATTCCGGAAAAAAAACTGCTTTGCTACATATATGCCCAAGATCGCGGTTTTCCTTATTTAAAAACTGCGAGTACCCGATCCGCCCTGCATATATATATTTTTTTATTTTTATACACACATTATAAAATAATAAGTTAAAACTAAATAAGTAATTTTATTGAACAAATTACATTACAAATATGAGAGGCTATAGTTTATTTACAAGATTCATTTGTAGAGACCATGATCTTATATTTTATAGAAAAAATTTAATTAATGTGTTGAACATATATATTAAAAATTGTGCTACTTATTTCAAACTTTTATTGATTTTGAATTTTTTTAATTTTTTTCCTTTATCTTATATACTCTTCACGTGCTTGTTTCTTGGTGGGAAATCTTTTTTTAGAAAAAAAAAATTTATTAAATCTTAAATGAATGTGAAAAATATAAAATTAATTTGGTATAAATCATTTTTTTTAAAAATTAAATGATAAATGGGGCGGGACGGGTACCTGCTGGCCCGACCCTATCTCAACGGGTACCCGCTGGCTGACTCGCAAGATGTGGGTCAAGTCAGCCAAATGGTGAATGGGACGGGTGCCCGACCCGCGCCTAGGCATGGCCACGGTTCCAGAACCAACGGTTCTGGTTCCAGAACCGCCGGTTCTGGTTCTTCAAAGGGGTAGAACCAGAACCGCACCATATAAGATGGTTCTGGTTCTGGTTCCAGAACCGGCGGTTCTGGTTCTTCAAAAAAGTAGAACCAGAACCGCATAGTTCTGATTTCGATTCCTTATGGTTCTGGTTCTGGTTCCGGTTCCGTATGGTTATATACAATTTTATTTGATTTCTTATCCTTACCAATTTTAATACGAATATAACAATATATTTAAAATTTTAAATAAAATGTAAAAAAATAAATACAAAATAAATATCATATTTTAATTTTATTATTATTCTACAAAGTACGAAATAATAAATAGATAATAGATGAAGAAATTGAGAGTAGTTTAGAGATGGAAGAGAGAAGATTGATTTTGGTGTAGTAGAAAATAAAATTTCAAGTCTTATTTATAGGACAAAATGAAATTAAAAATTTGGAACGTTGTATTGTAACGTTCCAAATTTGTAACGTTGTATTGAAAATTTGGACAAAATTACAACGTTGAATTGTAACATTGTAAACTTGTAATTCACCCTAACCCCCAATTTGTCAAATTTAGCAGGCAGCCACCTTTCTTGTTTTTTTTCTATCCTTTGCTTTGTTTCTTTCTTCCGTTGAGAGCCTGAGGACCTTTGTGCAAGTCAGGAGGAGCCCTCGAGAGCAAAAATTGAGAGCAAAAATTGTGGTGGCATCATGATGACCTTGGTCATCATGATGCCTCTACTTTTATTATTTTTTATATTAATTATTTTTAAATTTTTTAACGGTTCTGGAACCGGCGGTTCTGGTTCTGGTTCTATTTTTTAGAGAACCAGAACCGGAACCTTTATCCAAGGTTCTACTACGGTTCTGGTTCCACGGTTCTGGTTCCGGTTCTGGTCCGGTTCCAAACGGTTCGGTTCCGGTCCGGTTCCCGGTTCCAAGTGGAACCATGGCCATGCCTACCCGCGCCTACCCCTACTATTGGGACATGATTAATTAAAGCAGAGATGTTAATCCTGTCAAAAACAAATATTGGGACATGTCACTCTTAAAAAAAAAAAAATACTAATATAGTCTTTTTTGGGATCATGATAATTTTTTTTTTGGTCAATCGTAAACTCCAACCATAATAATCATAATCAAGATGGTCATATTTTGTTACCTTCATCCGTTCCTCTTTGTGGTTTTTTTTTTGGCTTTTTGTTACCGTGACAACAAATTAACATAAAACAAATTCAGAATTCCTCATCTTAATAGTTCACCTTTGACTTCTCCATATCTTGTATGATCAGCATTCGAGCGGTATAAAATGCGGCTTCACAAAATGCCGAAAACATTTTGTTACACGAACAGGACATGTACGAGATAGTTTGAATGCATAAAATTTGAATTCAAAATTCAAATTAAATTATCATATATAAAAAATTATAAAAATTTTATACTAAATTACGTACGTACGACTTAAATGACAAAAACAAATTCATGCATAACCCACCTTCTTAATTTTAGAAATTGTTATATTTGTATCTATTTGATTAGAATTAGAGTAAGCATTTTCACGTAGGTGGACTCAAAAAAGGGTGCGGAATAATTTAGTCCACAAATGAGTGCGGCGGATTAATTTAGTCCACAAGTAGAACTTTGACTCAGCGAACCTTCTCTCGACCCTAAAGGGTGACAGAAGACTACATTCAATTTACTATTACTACTGTAGTAGTTGCTCTCGTCTTGAGATATGTCTCGGGGTGATTGCTACTGCTAAAACAGGTCAATAATATGATTCTGTCGTACTTTACTTTCTTCTTGAGATTTGGCTCGGGGTGATTACTACTGCTAAAACGGGTAAATAATCATAATAATCATCGTACAAAAATGGCATCAGAGTTACTTACGTGATTCTTTCACACGACTACTTGAAATGGCAGCATGAGAGCTCCTAATATGCTTCTGCTGCTAAAATTTCCCAGATGTAGATTAGTTGCGAATCACAAGGGGAAAGCAGGTTCAAATACTGCTCAACGAAAGAAAGAAAGAATCCCATGTTAACTCACAGAGTGGCAAGTGGCATGCAATGGTCCACGTGGCATCTGATGAACCACTGGTTTGATGAAGTTGGGAGCAGCAGAATTCAGACCTTCTCTTGTTTTGTTTTCTAGTGTTCCAAGTTCCAACTGGGATTAGTAGGACGCCAGGCAGGCGAGTGAGATTCACTCCCTACATTGTAATCAGCAACAGAATCTTTATCCGTCTCTGTATCTTGGTTTGAGTTTCTCAAAAAACGTCATCGCCTGTGCAAGCTTTTTTGACTTTAAGCTTTTATTGTACGCATAAAATCATCAAGTACCCCATTGTTTGAGGCTTTGAGCAGCTAATCAAGTCCTTGTTTTCCTGGACGGTGTAATACTGGAAACGGCTTTTTACATCAATTTCAGGATTGAAAGGTTCGTGGGCTTGGCTTGTTTTCTTGTTTGGATTAGTGGTTATCCCTACCTTGTGAGTGCTACAGAAAAATGCTGCTTTTGTTGTCTTCTTCTCTTTGATTGTTGTCTGACTATTGAGAGCTATGAAAATTATCTCGAGCTTGGGGTATATGTTCCAAGTATGGTTTTGTGCTAGATAGAGAATTCTATGCAACTCATCTTGGGTGTTACCTGTATTGGATAATCAAAATTTTACTAGTTCTTTCCTCACTACTGAACAGACTGCATCAGTGATGGAATTATTTCAACTTGCTGTTGTGGGCTGCTTTTTGTTAAGGAATCATCCTGTTTGGATCAATTTGGTAAAAAGATATTGCTTCCTTGAATAGGGACTAAAATCCAGATAATAGCAGCATTATTTACTTGACAATTTGGTTGTTTGAAAAAATTGTAAGCTGTATTCAATTTACTCGAACACTAAGCGATGCTATGGCTATCGCTGTCTGTCAAATTATAAGCTATATTCAATGTGGGATGATTTGAAATGTAGAATTAACTTCCAAACTATTGTTATGAGACTACCTATTTGGGTTTACTTCAGAAGGGGAGGCAAATATAATAAGCGAGCTTATCAGCATGGCTCTACAGCCAAAAAACTGTAGCCATTGACTATCATCTTGCTGAATGATTGAAGTCTGGAATATAGATGTTCACAAGTCAAGTTGGTTTTTGAACTTGATTTTTCAAACAGAATGAAATTCTGGAACAATTTGTCACGGATTTTAAATCGAGGGTTTCACAAGAATCAGTTAGGACTCATGTTCCAGTGACCCTGGATTTTGTAGTTTCTGATAAATCATCTAGTGCGTGCCTCCACCAAGGATTTACCTAAGCAAACCTGAGTACATTTTGCAAGTTTTGGTTATATAGTTTTAAGTACTAGTAGTTTTAGATCTCTATGTCGTAATTTATATCCACATCCTGACCCTATATTTTCTGAATATACAACTGAATGAGAATCTTGTCACTGATGTCTGGGGTTAGCCACATCGATCCTCTTCCAATAAGTCTAGTTTAGTGTCATTCTATGTTACGTATGTTATCATGAACTCCCTCCATATGGCCTGAATTAGTTATATGTAGCTTTTGGAGGAGTGTACCAGTTAGATTCATCCAGTGTCTTCGCCGCAAGACATGTAAGAGGTACTTCAGAAGTATAATTAAGTTGTACTAGAATTTACCTCATAATATTTGTTAACCTGGGTTGTAAACAGATTCTGTAATGGTGTTGAAACTTGCTGACAGATAGAAGTTGATTGTACAAATGTTATTTTCTTTGATCCCAACTGTCACGTCTGACTGGATCAATTTGTCAAATTTCAGATTTAACTGACCACCACAGTTTCTTGAGTGTGATGAGTGCTGACAATGGCGACATGGATTTGGGGCTTTCCCTTGGATGTTCCAGTAACTGCATCAGGACAAAGTTGAAGGAAAATTCTGGTGCAGGTGTAAATGCAGCATCAATAATCGACATGACATATGCAGCATCTAATTCCCTGTCTGAATTAATTTGGTCCCCGCACAGCGGTTTGAGTGTCAAATGTGCTGAGCGCAGCTTAGCAGATAAGAAGCCTTTTCTTTTGTGGAATGTGGGACCAAGCAATAGGATTCCTTCACTATCTCAAGGTATCAGCTGCAATGGAACTGATGATGAGACAAAGATGGAGGAAAATTTCATTATTTCAGAGGCAGCATTCCATGTGGACAGTGAGATTGTGCAGAGAGCTAGTTTGAGTCAATCTCCTGGAAGCACTGCCAGGCCAATAATTGGTTCAAGCCATGTACAAAATATGGGTATGTGATTTTCTTTGTCGTATATCAGTTGCTATGAGACAAGTGAGGTTTCTGAATTTCTGCAGCTCTTCTGAATCCTTCTTCGCTTCAATTTTCTTTTCTTCCTTTTTTATTTTCATTATCCATATAGAGGTTGTTTCTAAGGAACTGACTAAGAGTCAATCGACAGAGAGCAGAGATGAAATGGATGAAGAGAAAATTGAGAAAGACATTTTAGTTAAAGAAAGAGGTGAAAATGCTGGCTATCTTGATGAGAATGATAAAGAATCATGTGATCCATGCAATGAGCGAATTGCTATTATGGCTGAAAGAAGTCAAGAGAATACAGGTATACATATCGAAATGTTCTGAGTAATTCATGAATTTAAGGAAATAATGTAATGCTAATTGCTTGAATTATTTTTTATATCTTAACTCATACAAATATAATTAAAGAAATGCACTCCTTAATAGTTTTCTTTATTTGTTTCCTCTCACTTTTGGTACCTTTTGTTGTTGGGAATAGTTCTGAAGTTCTGCTAATGCCAAATCATTTTTTGCAAGGTCCTATTGGTTCCAATATTGACATGGCAAGAACCAAAGCCTTATCTGGGGATCTTAATATGGGAATTTCGAATGATTTTAATCCTATTGTTAGCAAGGCTGTTAATGGTGGGCAGTTCCTTGAAGAAGTGACTACAGCTGCTGAAGTTCACAGGGAAACAGTATCTGAAGCACAGATTACCCCACCACAGATATCAATGTATCTTGACGAACCTAACAAGGAAGTGAAGGGGGCTTTTGAAGAAGAGCGAAAAAACAAGAGCAAGATACATGGGTCTATGGTGCCTATTTTGCAGAAGCTAGAACACACAGCTGAAAATGATCTGCAGCATCCAATGACAAAAGATGCATATCAGCAGAATGAAGAGAGACTTCTCAGGGGCTGCTCTCTTCCACTTGAAACTTCTCCAGGCGATGGAAGCAAGCAACCATGTCCACTGAAAGGCAAAGAGAAAGCTTTATCTGATAGCAATATCGGTGGAAGATTCTCAAATAATCTAGATGACAGCCAAGAGAGTGTGGAAAGCTGTACCAGCACTGGATTACTTGGCAAGAGAAGATGGAAGTTTGATCAACAGTTAATTTGTGAGAGCAAAAGAGTCAAGCAGCAGACAGATGGATGTCCAGAATCAACATCTTTAATCAAACATGATAGATCTTTCATGAACTGGATATCAAACATGGTGAACGGGTTCTCTAAATCTAATCATGAAGAAGTTCCATCTCTTGGTCTCACCCATGCACATTCGAGTCGTGAACAGACAGATATTCTTCATGAAACCATGATATGTAGAGAACATCAAGAGTCTGTAAGCAAAAATATGGGTTTCCAAACTATATTTAGGTCCCTGTACCGTTCCGGTGTGAAGCTAATAGAAACTCAAGTATCAAGAGATGATTCTTCAGTAGAAAGATTGCAGAATCTTGTGCAGGCTGACAAAATTAATGTTCAACGTTCTTCGATCAACTCCTCTGTACAGAATCGGGTGTCTTTGGGTCACATTTTTATGGCAGATGAAAAGATCCTCCCATCCTCAACTGAATGTGTAGTCAGTCAGTCTGATCAAGCTTGGAATTTATCTGCAATTCCCATTAAAAATGAATTCAGCACCGACTCTGCAGAGGATAAAGCTCCAAGTAACCAAGAATTTTGTAAAGGTAACACTGGGATAAGTTCATCCAATTCTCTAGGTCATCACAAGATGACTGCTGCTGAGAATGCGAACACCCAAGTTGCATCTGATGGTAGAGAAACATATGACTTGTCTAACAAAAACAATCTTTTAGGTAGCTTATGGATCACCCGGTTTTCAACCAAAACAAATAGCATTCCATTGAACTTAAACCACTCCAAAAGAGATAATTGTCTGGCCATTGATGGTCTAGGTGACTGTGAAAGGCCCAACACTCAAAATCAGAAAAGTCTGAGTTTTCCCATCGAGGAAAAGCATTCAGATACCAGGGTAAATGGGAATTCAGGTGATTTGGTTAAGAATTTGGAGACATTTGCTGCCAGTGCTGAGTTTTCTCTTGGCTTTAAGGAGATACATGAACGTAAGCATTCAAATTCTGTGCTTAAAATTCAATCTACTTTACCTTCCCAAGGACCCGAGAGTTCAGAAGCAATGGCCTCTACATTTGCTAGGAGAGTGGACGCCCTCAAACACATCATACCTTCAGAGGCTAAAAAAGATGCAAATTTCACTGCAGCAACTTGTTTTTACTGTGGTAAAAGTGGCCATAATTTACAAGACTGTTCAGAGGTAATGGAATCCGAGCTTGAGGATCTTCTGATAAATATGAGCAGTTGTAATTGGCCTGAAGATTCACCATGTTTGTGCATTAGATGTTTTCAGATTGATCATTGGGCCATTACCTGTCCGGTAGTGACTTCAAATAGGCAACATCAATTGGAGAATAAGATGTCCTTTGTTAAGTGTCAGAATGTTAGTAAACCAATTTTGTTTTCAGGCAATCAAAGAAAGGCGTGCTTTCTTGACAAGGGAGACCATCTTAAAGTTGGTCTATGCAGTGGAGAAGAACCTTCTATGAACACTGGCCTCAGAAACCTGGTGTTCAATCCAGAGGAGTTTTCTGGCAATAATTTGGGTTCAGATGAAACTGAGAAACGGAAAACTTCAAATTCTGGGAAGAAGAAACTGATAGAGCATCAGAATCTGCCTTTATCTAATTTGGTTAGCGAGCGGATTGAAGAAGTACCAAAAGTTATTTTTGATGCCGTGAGGCGGCTTCAGTTATCTCGTGCAGATATACTCAAGTAAGCAAAGCATGGAAAACCTGCCTGCTAATAAATTTGTCAAATATTACTCTGTTGGCTAGAACTTGCCATGGATTTTTGTTCTTGTCATGTGCATAAGTTTACAGAATGCATTCTTCCCATGCCACTTCAACTTGGACAGGGCATAAAGTTTACACTACATCATGCAATGTCCCATGCCATCTCAAGATCATGACTTGGGATGATTTAAGCTGATGATGTATGTTATGTCCTCAAGGCCCTTTCAGCACTACAGCCTGGCACATAAAATTAAACATGCAAACAGATGTAGAGGAGAAAAAAAAACATTTTCAATAACCTAAACAAAGAGATACTTGGAGCTCCCCTAAGGTACTGGGCCAACCCTGGTTTTATGCACATCTTTTTAATTGGCCCCTCAGTTACCGTAGGAAAATACATTGTTGTTCTTTATGTTACCTGGCGAATGCATTCCTCTTACCAACATTCATTTGGCTTCAGATGGATAAACTCCGATGTCTCACTGTTACATTTGGAAGGTCTTTTCCTGCGCTTGCGACTGGGTAAATGGGAAGCAGGATTAGGTGGAACTGGCTACTATGTTGCTTGTATTACAGGTATGCCATATGTGAAACTGCATTTTGGGAAATCTGTTTCAGGATGCTACTTTTGGAAACCATTTATTGCTTATAAGCACTGATGGTACTTATTTATCTTATGTACTTTACCACTTTCCCTTTCTTGTCTTTGGCATGTGTATTAACGGTGGAGCAAGCAGGGGAACCAGTGAAAGATTCTAAAACTTCCATTTCTGTGAGTGTTGGAGGTATTAAATGCTCGGTTGGGAGTCAGTATGTGTCCAATCAGGACTTCTTAGAGGTAAATTCCCTCTATATTTGTGTTCAAAAGCATCTAAGCCACCATTACAGTTATGACTTTCATTCAGTATGCTAACTGATTTTACATGGTTTAAATAAAATTAAGGTGTTTCTCTACTTCTCTTCTGCAATTATCCCAGATAATGCAGTAAAATGTGAGCTAAATGTTATTTCGGCTGTGGTGGTGTAAATATTTAACACTTTTGTATTTGGTATCTGATGCTTGGTACTATTTGGGTTTTCATTTCCATTTGAATTTTCTGTTTAGTTGTTAATGGTAGATTTCTTGAATCTATCTCTGTGTTGAGACCAATTGTTTTCTACGTGCTCGCGTAACAGGATGAACTAAAGGTCTGGTGGTCCAGAACTTTGAGGAATGGTGGGAAGATTCCATCAACGGAGGATTTGGAAACGAAATTGAGACAGAGAATCAAATCAGGCTTCTAAATTCTACACTTAAGACCAGTAGCATAGCATCACCAAGCTACAGTGGGTTTCTTGCGCAAGTTTTCTGATTTGGTTAATTAAGGCAAGTTTTTCGGTATTCGTTGTTGGTTTGACATCTGTTTTAACTTGAGCTGAGAAAGTGCGAATTCTGAATAAAAGCACCCTTGGGGTAAGCTGAGAATAGCAGAACAAGCATGTAGTTATTGTACATAGAAAACTAGTTTGGATCCTGTTTGAAAACTAGAATCAGTAGTGGGAAATTTTAACCAATTGCTTGGCTTCCAAGGTCGCCTAGTCTTAAAAATGGTTTTCAGACTGACAAAATACTGGTTCACATTAATGCCTCATTTCTTGTGTAATTATGTGAAAGGTTGGACTAACACACATCCAGATCAAAATATCTGATATTAGAACAAAGCCACAAGAATGTTGTTCTGGTCTGGGCATAGGGTATACCATTTAACTACTAAGGCCTAGGAAAATATTCACTATCAATTGCCTGAGCAAAAGAATCTCCATCTGGAACTATGTGTGTGGATGACAACTGGAAATTAACAGCATCCATATCTCCACCTTTGTTGATGTGTTGGTCCATTGCTTTTAACAAGAATAAAACAACTTGACTTCAAATGATGTTACAGGACTTGATGATGTCTTCCTTTTTATCAAAGGAAAGTATTGAAGTATGACGCTTGTTTTCTGGAGCTTTTATAGAAAAATGTACTGTAGCAATATGATGTATATGCAGTAAAAGAGTGGTTAGAAAATATGTTTACGGAAACCTAAAAATTTTTTGAAGAAAAATGGCAATCCAACCCGTAGAGTCCATTCTTTGTGGACTTCACCCACACCGAATTCACCTACTAAATCTACCTTGGTTTTTGAAGACATGAAAAGTTGCAGATAATGCATTTGTTGTGGCCCTTCTGTTAGGGTGGCGTCAAATTTGGCCCAGAATCTACTTTGCTGTTTTGAATGGACTAGGCAAAGGATAAGACTCTAAAGTGGATTTGACAACCAAATTCACTTAATAGTGCTGGAATCTTGTCCTGTCAATTTGGGTCCTGGAAAGAAACCATGAGGATTCTCCTACAGAAATAGTCTTGGAAGGATTAGTACTTAAAGCAAAATTCTTTTATGCTGCTCGCGGTTGAGGATTCATCGCTGCCGCCTGGGATCCATGCATTAAGAGGACTAGCATTATAAAGCCACTTTCATGCTCCCATTACAGCAATTCACGAGATAGAACTTTGTTCTTTCTCCGTCCAGTAGCCCCTTTTCAGAACATAATTTGTCAGGCTCAAATAATTTTTGTTTTGTCCAAAAATGTAAATCACTTACCTCAAGTGAAAAGCTGATAGAAATCCTTTTACTTGCGGGAATTATAATTACTAGTGATCGATGCATCCTCGAAGTGTGTGCAAGTGTTAAAAAAAATTCCGTTAAACTAATGAATGTAGATTCATTATTTGACAACAAAATCTAGTGGTAAATTAAAAAATTTAATACAAAAAAATCATAAAAAAACAAGCAATTGTTATGTTAAACGTGTATTCGGTGGTTGAGTTGAAATGAGAAATTATTTGAAGGATAGGAAAGAAATTATAAAAAGTGACGACATATTGTTTACACCAAATCACGTGCCCTCGCTTTATTATCGTAGAGATATTGATGTAAATAGTAATCAATATTCAATAACAATATGGGGCCTGTTGGAATTTTATGTATGTAAGAAACTGTAAATTTTCACTCATTCGGAATATAGGCCTTGTTGGACTTTATGTGTGTAAGAAAAGCGACAATTTTTCTTCATTGCTACTTAAATAAATCTATGCATCTTTATAATACAAAGAACATTTTCGATGACCAGTTCTCTTAGACAAACATAAGAAAAGAATCTAATTTTGATAGTCAATAATGAATTGACGTGCATGCCAAACAGCTTTTGGTGTGTTGAGAAGCTCCATGCAGATTTTGAAGGTCTTTAAAATTTTATATCCACTATAACAAAAATAATGCAATTTGCTTTTGTCAAACAGGAACCATTAATAGTAATACCATAGGGATTTTCCTTTATTTTTCTTTTTTTCTTAAAAAAAAAAAAAGAGAGAGAGAGAACTAGTCATATAGCATTATCACATTGACATGCCAAACTTATAATCACATTTTTCTTTTCTTTTAATTAGAAAGAATTGCGATACTTAGCAATATTAATGAGGGTTCTTGTTCTTTTCCTAAATTGCTTAAACAACTTTTCAGACTGAAATTGTGCATAAACATCTATATCTATATAAATTTGAGAAGAGATTTTTAGCAACAAGCCTTCACGCATCTTCCCACTACCAATTCCATTTTTCTAGCATTTCACATTTAATTTAATTTATAAAATATATTCCTCTCAACTTCCACATCTACTCTTCACATTTGAAATTGTTAGTTACCTTTTAAAATTATTTCATTTCAAATTGTTGGTTAATATGCATGTTATCCTATTTGAACTCCAACCCATCACGTTTTCAATTGTCTTGCGGTATTTATGATTCTATAACAATTAAAACTTCTATAAAACCATAAAAAAGATAACAAATATAACATCTTTTTATGCTTTCTTATTAATTTAAATAAGTAAGATTATTTACACTCCATTTTTGTTATTCACACTTCAATAGTCATTTTGGTTATATAATTTTCATTAATTATACTATATGATAAAACAAATAGTGGAATTGCAAATAATAAAAAATGGAGTGCAAATAATATTTTCTTAAGTAAGAAGTGGCTTCCATGCTTTTCTAATTTAAAAAAGTAGTGACTCCACTTATATAAAAATTTGGTTTAAAGTTTATTAGTAGGAGGGTAAATAAAAAGAAAGCATGGCCAAACTTAATAAAATTAAAAAAGTAAATGACAACATTTTATCTTTTAACTTAGTAATCCTAAGTAAAAGGGTAAAATTAAATAAAAAATATTCATGAAATAATGTCGTGGATTTGAAAAATCAAGAATGGTACCATTCGTGAAATCCAAATTATGAAATCACTAAATAAAAAACAAAGTACTACTAGCCTTTTAACGTGGAAATTTTTTTTTAATATTCATTTTTGATAAAAAATAATAATGATAATAACAACACCAATTCTACCAAAAATTTTTTAAAAAAGTAACATTACAGTTTAAGAGAAAGATATAGAACATTCAACCCTAAAATACTACTTAATTTGTATATATCTGGCCCAAATTTGACATTAGATTTGAATAAGAGTGCAAAACCCAAACATTAAGGATAACTTTTGATATCATTAATTATTTATGTATTCTTATTGCTGTCTTCATATGTAAATATGTATTTGCTATGTTAAATATATATATATATATATATATATATCTTGATTGTAGTACTTGAGTATATTATAGATATTATTAGTTTTTCATTCCCATTATTAGATACTAATAATTGCAACCATTGTAATCAATTTTCAAATTTATATTTTCATTCTGATAGGTAAAGTTAAATATATTGGGTTGTAGGAATATGAATTTAGAAGTTAGGTATGGGGGAGGATGGAGGGAAGAAAATTGTGAGAAGTTGAAAAGTGGCAGGAAAGGTTGAAAAAGAAATATGGGTTACAAGGATGGGCAGAGAAGGGAGAGAAGAATAAATGGGATTGTAGGAATATGACCGAGATGACAAAAAAATAATAATAGAGAGAGTGATACCATAATAAAAGAGATAAAAGTCGCAGGAGGCATCTGATGACTAGGTGTCGGATAAGGGAAGAGAGAAATGATGGTGATTTTTAATAATTTTGAGAATTCTAAAAATACATATTACGGAGATTTTTTTTAAAATATACGTTAAAGTTTATGAAAAATGCTAATCTAAATGCATTCAACAATTATAGGGGCACAAGATAGGAGAAAGATTTTTTTTCTAAAAATGGAAGAAAATAAATTGATTATAATTTATTTTTTTTATATTATAAGTATTGATATATGAGTATAACATAATATGTTTTGTCAGATATTTGATAAATTGACTTTTTTTTAGAAAACTCTTCTCATATTACCACCCAACCTAACCCTCTCCTTAAATGCGTTAACAATTCTTTTATCATGTAAATTATTATAGATTAATTTTTATTCAAAATATTAAACATCACTTCTTTAAAATTTTTAGTATATATATTTATTATTCTGTACCATAATATATAAATATATACAATATTATTTTGATTTGAAATATAATCTCGTGCATGGCACGGGAAAACACTAGTATGGATAAAATTATAAACATGAAAATTTGTTCAATGTTGGTTATGGTCAAAAAGGAAAGGAAAGGTTCTCTTTGTACCAAATAAGGAAAGACTAGAGGTAGTTTCTCACATGCTTGGATCTGGCAAACTCCAATTTCCATTACTTTGTCACATTTCCATACGGTGCTTTTTCTTTTCTTTTTCAAGGAATCCATACGGTGCTTTTTATGCATCGAAACTATAGAAGAAGAAAGGTATTGACACATGGTCCCATCAAATTCATGCAAATTCATGCATGGATACGCTCTTGACCCTTATAGTGGAGGCAACAAATTGCCTCGGAAATAAATGAGAGCAATAATTGATTGGCCCATTAATCCTGAAAGGATTTACATATACTACTCTCTTTTGCCATTTTGGCTAAGGAACAATAAATTTAGAACATATTTTTGTGTATTTGTAACGAGTCCTCATTAACAAGACTCAAAGTGTCTATTTTTCGAAAAAGTAAAAGTTTTTTCTCCTTTTCTCTTCTCTTCTGACAAAGCAACATTTTCTTTGGATCAGGCAATGCTAAAAGGTGATATTGATCATGAATAAATGTTTGTATTGCATCATAATAAGCAAGAAACGGTTTTCAAATTTTCAAAAAAAAAAAAAAAAAGTCTCCTTGACTTAAACAATTAGTCATAGTTTATGGAAAAATATATTCATAGCACGTTTAAAGGAGCAAGTCAAGTACCTTTAAATTGTTTATCTAAAGATTGATTACAAAAGGGGGAAAGACAGCATGGTTAGTGCAGCATTATCAATTATCATCATTCTGGCTCCCACCCAACTTGGTTTAATTTAATCAATCATCTAGAAAATACCCCCACTACCCAAAGGAAATCACCTCCAGATTCACTAAGTTATTATATATAAACTTAATACAATCAATTTCCATGTAACTTAGGGCATCCACAATGATTTATACTCTAAAGAGTATAATCCACGTACCACGTCAGCATTCCATTTTCTCCTATTTTATTACACTTTCACTCACAATCGATTACACTCCACAAGATGTAATAGCATGGATTCACAATTAAATCAAATATTTATTTTAGTACTGCACAACGCATATCCCATAAATAAATAAAGTAATTTTTAAAAATAATTTTGTTATTTTTAAAAAATAAAGTACTAACTTTCATTAAATTTTTTACCTTTTGAATTTTTTATTTTCTAAAAATGATATTATTAATTTTTAAGTTTGAATAATATATCTTTTTCTATCTCTCAAAAATAATATATTGTTATTTTTTCAAAAATAATTATGCAGAAAATTAAACAAATATTTGATACCTCAAATGCGAAGATATCATAATAATCCATACTTAATTAATAATTCAGAATGTAATTAGTTGAACTCCATAACATAATATTACATAATTTAAATCAAATAAAATACAAATAATAACAAAATGAACGTTGCTGGCCAAAATTAGAGTCAGGCTCTTAAATTTTGTAGTGAAGGCCACCTATTATACGCATCATCAGCATGACGCGTGTAATGGGTATTACACAGCCACGCGTGTAATGGATATTACGCGTGTAATGGGTGGTCGTATAATACCCCTGGTGTAATGTCAGACATTACACTTGCGTTGGAGATGCTCTTAGAAAGATGGTTTTTTTTTTTTTTTGAAGAAATTTCATTTGCACAAAAATTGATTTCTGGAATCAAAGTGAAAGAGTAAATTACACTCAACATCACTCTTTTTGATGATTCCTTCCTTTTATTTTATCTCTGTTTCTGATCAATGGGTGCCAAATGGACATTTTTTCATAGTGGTATTTTTTTTTATAAAAGTAAAATTAATTTGACAAAAAAGTATTTAAATGTGGAGACTGTAATAAATTCTGGATATATGTATTCACATGACAAGTTAGTATAATTTTTGTTTAATAATACTTCACTAGACACCGAATTAGAAAATTTTTATAAAAAAAAAATAGAAACACGATGAAAAATGGTGTATTTCTCTATTTAAAATTGGTTTGACGGCATTAGATGTACTAACGAGTGATCATTAGGGAAAAAATATTTTTAAGCATAAGGGAGATTGTTAGATTAAATGGTTGAGTATATTTTTGTTCCTTGAAATATG